ATTTCTAAGCCCACTTGAGGGTGGCAAATTCAAACCATTTTCGAAAACAAACATTGAATTGTTTTGTTCCAATCTAGGCGATATAGTCTATACTTGTATGCTATGCGCATCACATAGTAAGTTAGATTAATAACCGGAATAAGAACACATGTGTTTACAAAACAACATATCATGGTAGTAGAGGCCGATCCTTTGATCGGGCGAGCGGGGGTGCTCATTTCATGACCTTCCCCCCTCGTATCCAAGTTCCCGAGCCGAGGCAACTTTGGTGATGATGGACACGTGGTCTTTGGCCCGAGTCAGGGTTTCCTAAATTTCCCAAAATAAAATATTTATGTGGCAACTCTGAAATCTGGCAAAGCAGTCCATGTTTGGCGCTTCTTGATTAAAATCGACTTTTTCAAAACGATTTGCTGGATTTGGACTCTTTGGTGATTTATCAGTCTTACATTATACTTTGTGAGATTAGATTCAGAACCGTGATAGGAGTCCGAACTGTAGTAGCATGGACCAAATTCGCGCCATCTCCAAAAAAGGGGAGGCGCGCAGAGGAAGTTCGGGCAGTCTGCAGCCCCTCACTCTTTTCACATGACTAGGCCGCCTGCGTTATGAGAGGATGTGGTGGATTCAGCCATTAGCGGCATATATATATGTGTGTGTGCGTATTTTAATATAATTCCAGATTGCGAAAGTTGTATGGATCTGTTTATTTATTGTCGTAATTGTCTGAATTGTTCTTGCACATTCTTAATTGCATAATTTGTTACACTGTTAATTATAGTTTCTATCTTGCTAGTAAACGTACATTTTGTTGCTATCAAAATTGCTTAGTTTCTCATTAAGAAAAGTTGGAACATTGAAATAACAACTCATGTCCTTCCATGTAACAGATTCGTCAAGTCTTGAATACTATGCGTAGGGGCGAGAACTTACGAGCTGAGGTTCAATTTTAACTCATGCCTCATTAATTCATTAATTTTTATATGTTGTGCTATAACACAACTGAGAGGGTAATTTGTACAGCCAAATAGGGTCGAGCTAGGAAGTATTGTTTCTGAATATTGGGTCGCATTATGGGCCAAGTTACGAGTTCAAGATAGCTCGGTATGGGAACAATTGTTGACAGGCCGGTCGGTGAACTCCAGTTACGGTCAGAGAGCGAGCCGAAGTGCTATGTCGGCCATATATAGAAAGCCGAGCTAGAGGTAGCCCGGCGAGAGGATTCAAAGCAATTGGTGATCGTGCAGCCCAGTCTAGGTATTTGCGCCAGATAACTCGGCTAGGCGTATCGAGCCGAGCAAGGTGATAACCATCTCACTTGGTTGGCAGTGAGTAGGGTGTTATCAGGATATGCATTATCCTTGGAAATGTAATTCCTAGGAGGACTCTGCTAAGGAGAGTTAGAGTCCTACTAGGATTGTGCCAGGGATTTGTGATTCCTTAGAGGACTCTACTAAAGAGAGTTAGAGCCCTACTAGGATTGTGCCAGGTGGAATTTATAAAAGCTCATGATAGGACCTATGAACAGGTATCACAATTCTTACTCTCAAATACACAGAGCTTTTTGTGTCTATTGTCTATTTGCTGACTTAGGCATTAGAGGGGTTACCGGCACACACCCGTCGGCTAGCTCACGTTTGTGTTTTTAGGTGATAAGGCAATGACGTTTTGAGTAATGCAAACTCGATTGACAGGATTATACGAGAAGATTATTTCGTACTCGTACAATTAGCGCCATATGTGGAAAAGATCACAAAGAACAAACCTTTTGATTGGATTTTTCTTCAATTGATTTCAATGGCACACAACGAAGACTTGCCTCAATCTGTTATCGATGGACAAACTCCAGAAGGGGGCAGAAGGCGCGAGGATTTGCCTTTTATCCCACCCATGGAAGACTTGGACCCCTAGCGAAGGAACCCACGGAGCGGTGCATGAGAGAAACAAGGCTCAAGTCATCGTCGCTCTCACAGCCCAGATAAACAAAGACAGATAGTGGATTCTCAAGTTCTGCACGATCGCGCGAAAGAGCAAGACGAGTTGATAAAAAGAATGGTGGCTGACATGGAGACGATCAAGCGCCAAATGGAAGGAAAATGTGTGGCGGGAGAAAAGATCCGCGAAGGCAAGACGGGTTCTAGCCACTTAAACGATCGCGACAAGCGAGTCACACCATTGCAATTCGAAAGCAAAAGCCTCAGAACAGACGACACACAATCAAGAACCTCTAGGACTCGTTACTCTAGGTTTAAGAGAAAGAGGATTGAAAGGTCTTACATAGAGAGAAGCAATTATCGACCCTCACATATGCATCAAACCACTTCTCAGCACACTGAGATGCCTAGATCGATGGATCTGCGAACTATTCTAGGAGAAAGGACACGAATGAGGAAAGATGCCCAGGCCCATGACCCTCAAAGGATCTCGGCTCTACGACGGATGGCACCTAGAACGCATGAGAGCGTCAAGGTTAGAAAGTCAGTACCTCGTCTTGCCTACGAACCAGTCGATAAGGCATTGGCAAGGTTGCAAAGCTCACCGTTCGTTCCAGCAATAGAGAACGCACCTCTGCTCTTGGGCTTCAACCAGCCTAAGTTCACAACTTATGAGGGGAAGTCAAACCCCTACATGCACTTGAGCCACTTTCGCCAGGTCATGGCTGTATACCGACGGAATGAGGCTCTAATATGTATCTTGTTTCTCTCATGCCTAGGAGACATGGGCTTGATGTGGTTTGAAAGGTTGCCAGAAGGCAGCATAGCTTCATGAGCGCAACTCGCAGAGGCGTTTGTTACCAAGTTTAAGACAAACACCAAGACACTAGTGGAGATACACCAACTGTTCTCCATCGACATGGGCGAGAAAGAAACACTAAAGTCCTACAACAACAGGTATTGGGAGACCTTCAACCAGGTAAAAGATTGTCCTACCAACCTAGCTATTGCACAGTACAAGTAGGGTCTGCTAGTGGGTCATAGGTTGAGAGATTCAATGACAATGACGATGCCCCTTACTATGGAAGCCTTGATGGAGAGAGTGCACCAACACATCTTGGTAGAGGAAGATGGGGGGTGCGCACCAAGGCAAAGTCTGACACAATAGCGATGTCAGATAAAATGCCTTCGGCAAAAGTTAGCGCGGTTGACAAGAAGGACCAACCATGCAAAAATCTTTGCCCAACTGGGGGCAAAGTGGGTTGGCAGGTTTGACCAACTCTTTCTAAAAAAATCTTTGCCCAACTGGGGGCAAAGTGGGTTAGCAGGTTTGACCGACTCTTTCTAAACAAATCTTTGCCCAACAGGGGACAAAGGGGTTGGCAGGTTTGACCAACAAAATTTTTGCACCCTTTAGCCGAGATAAGGATCTAGGCTAAAAGTGGTTGGCAGGTTTGACCAACAAAATTTGTTATACCCTTTAGCTGAGATGAGGATCTAGGCTAAAGGTGGTTGGCAGGTTTGACCAACAAAAATTTTGCACCCTTTAGCAAGGAGGTTAGCAGTTTTGACCAACAAAATTTTTGGCACTCTTTGATCGAGATGACAGTTACCTTGGCCAAAAAAGGTTGGCAGGTTTGACTAACAAAATTTTTTTTGCACTCTTTAGTCGATATGAGGATCTAGGTTAAAGAAGGTTGACAGATTTGACCAACAAAAATTTTTGCACCCTTTAGCCGATATTAGGATCTAGGCTAAAGGTGGTTGGCAGGTTTGACCATCAAAATTTTTGCACTCTTTGACCAAAATGACAGTTACTTCGGCCAAAGCAGGTTGGCAGGTTTGACTAACAAAATTTTTTGCACTCTTTGGCTGGGGTGACAGTTACCTCGGCCAAAGTAGGTTGGCAGGTTTGACCAACAAAATTTTTTGAACTCTTAGACCGAGATGCTTATCTCAGCCAATGAAGGTTGGCAAGTTTGACCAACAAGTTTTTCGATAGGATCAGGTAAGGCCAAGCTAATTAGTTCGGCTAAACATGCAGTCGAAATAATGCAAAACATTGAAAAAAGAAACACAGTAACCAAGCAAAGTGATCAAAAATTTTCATTAATTGGAAGATGATTACAAAATGTGGGACATATAGCCCAGTTACATAGAAAGAACTTCTTCTTGTGCGATTGCGAACTTGAAGGATGTAAATGTTGAAGGCAAAAAGATGGGGCTGTTCAAATTTTTGGAGGTACATGACGGTTGTAACATGAGAATGAGGATAATGGGGACACGCTACGTGTCTTAGGAATGACGTCGTATCAGACATGTCAGGTTAGTGGAAGGAAGTGCTGAGCAACTGACAAGACTTGTTGGGACTGAACGAGTTTTGAGACCGAACAACTTCTCTAGTTCGGCAGAGTTGAGCGTTTTTAGCTCGGCTAGAGGAAAGTAATCTCAATCATGCTTCCCAGATGGAATTAAGGAGCAATTGAGAGGGTAATTTGTACAGCCAAATTTGGCCAAGCTAGGAAGCATTGTTTCTGAATATTGGGTCACGTTGTGGTCCAAGTTACGAGCTCAGAATAGCTCGGTGTGGGAACAATGGTTGACAGGTAGGTCGATGAGCTCCAATTGCGGTTAGAGGGCGAGTCGAAGTGCTATATCGGCCACATATAGGAAGCCGAGCTAAAGGTAGCCTGGCAAGAGGATTCAAAGCAATTGGTGATCGTGCAGCCCGATCAGGGTATTTGCACCAGATAGCTCGGCTAGGCGTAGCGAGCCGAGCAAGGTGATAATATCTCACTTGGTTGGCAGTGAGTAGGGTGTTATCAGGATATGCATTATCTTTGGGAATGTAATTCCTATGAGGACTTTGCTAAGGAGAGTTAAGTCCTACTAAGATTGTGCTAGGGATTTGTGATTCCTAGGAAGGCTCTACTAAGGAGCGTTGGAGTCCTACTAGGATTGTGCCATGTGAAATCTATAAAAGCTCATGACAGGACCTATAGACAGGTATCACAATTCTTACTCTCAAATACACAAAGCTTTTTGTGTCTATTGTCTATTTGCTGACTTAGGCATCGGAGGGGTCACAGGCATACACCGCCGGCTAGCTCACGTTTGTGTTTTCAGGTGATAAGGCGACGACATTGGAAGGAGTGCAAACTCGATCAACAGAATTATACGAGAAGATTATTTTGTGCTCGTACAACAACCATTTTGTCTTTGTCAACTGCCACAAGAGTATGAATGATTTAGTTGATATAGTGACATTTCATGTTCTGTTGATTCTGTTTTTGACTGGAACTCATTTGAGATGGCAAAAATTCAATAAGGCTTTCTATGCTTCTAAACTTCTTAGTAATTATTGCTTATGTTATCTACTTTGAAAACAAAAAAAAATCAGTTTCATTAAAAGCAGCTTTCACAATAATTAAGCTCTGTTTGTTGCAAAGGCCATTATTTTCTTGGAAATATGCACAATACAACAGTGCATTGTAACAGTTGCACTTGTCGTGCTGCATGAACTAGCTTTATAAAAATGCTACCAAAAGAACTAGCAAAAATTCTACAAAATACTTGAATGATTTGTCGATCATCAACAATGTCTTGTGACTTGTTTCATTTCTGACATTGTCCTGCATGTATAATCATGTGTTAGGATTATATGCTCTTCGATCCATATATAAATGGGGCTGCTGAGTTGTATGACAGGCATAGAGATATGAGACTTGATGTTGATAACATGTCTTATGAGGTAAGAAAGGGTTTTTCTTCTTCTTCTTCTCCTTTTATATATATGTCCATGTCATCAAATTTTGATGGAAGATTGTTGTTCCCTGACACCGTGATTGGGGAATATCAGGAATTGTTGGCATTGGAAGAGCGCATAGGAAATGTGAGCACTGGATTGAGCGAGGAAACCATTATGAAGTCTATGCAACAGCAGAAGTATCTTTCTATCGCGGTAGTATCCCAATCAAACTTGGAGCCATGCTGCATATGCCGGGTAAAAGCCATCAAATCCTATATATACAGATGCTTATTTGGGAAAAGCCATCAAATCCTACATATATAAACCAATTTATTTTTTGAATCTTTACCAGGAGGAGTATGTTGCTGGTGATGATATTGGGACTTTGGATTGCGGGCATGACTTCCACACCAACTGCATCAAACAGTGGTTGACACAGAAGAATCTTTGCCCTATATGCAAAATGACTGGTTTAGGGACTTGAGAGGGAAAACCATTAGTTTTAAACCCTGAAAACTTAATTTTATTTCTTTGCCAGTGGATCATTAAACCCATTGCTTTGGTTGAAAATACAGTAATGTGTCCCATTCCTTTTATCCAAAAACTAGTATTTACTAAGCTCGTGAAATGCACGGGTTCATAAATGTGGAGAAAAGGGATGTAAGTTATAGAAGATCATGGCAATGGTAAGGGATTTGTGTATTACCTGAAATGGATAAATTTAAACTGTGAAATTCTGTTAATGATATTATCAAGTTTTTAAAGCTTTGCAGCTTGTGTCAACTGTTATCAGGAAACTCTTTTGAGAGGGGAAACTCTTTTTTGTGAATCACATCAATATGTTTTATCTATTCAAGTATTTTTGCAAATTTTTAGTAATTTTTAATATTTCATTTTCATTTTACAAAAAGTTCTTAATAAAATTCCTGTTGGTTTATGTATTTGTTTATTATTATTATACTTATTTGTTGGTTATTATTATTATTATTATTAATTATATTTTAAAGTTGTTTAAAATCATTTGTAATGAATTAGAGGAAGTGATCTTGGCCTTAACTTGATTGTCACCATTTCTCAAAATTACTAGAATTTTAACTTCAACGTTTGCAATGTTCTATTTATTGGATTTACAATTGTTTTGTTTTTTCAAAAAATGAATACGAAGTGTATATCAGAGTCGTCTTTTTAATTGAATTATTTATATTTTTCCCCCTCTATTTAACATTGAATAAATGAGTTAATCAAATTAATTTGTGGGATATTTACTGATAAATCTTATCCCATAAACAGTTACACCAATTGGTCCCATTGTTGTTTCTATTGTTCTTAATAGTCCTATTAGTTGGGGAATATATCCCATTTGATCCTGTTGTCTTTGTTTGTTAGTATTTAGTAGTCAATTATACCCTTCCATTTGCTGGCGGACGATTTTGGTGGGATTACGTGTGCACTTTTTGATATTTGAATATTTCAGTATAGACATTACCATTATGAAGCTAATCCAATTAATTTCAAGTTTTTTTTAACACTACAAAAAAATTTGTTTTTTGCGACGGTAAGCGGCCGTCGCAAATGCTCCCTGAACCGTCGCTAATACCTTTTGCGACGGTAATCTGGTTTTTTGCGACGGGAGGAGGGGGTCGCGACAGATGGGGTTGCAAAAGACCTTTCGCGACGGTAAGTACCGTCGCCATTAGTTTCTGCGACGGTAAGGTATGTTTTTTGCGACGGCGTTTTTCCCGTCGCAAATAATGGGGAAAAAAATTACTTTTAGCGACGGCACGTAATTCCCGTCGCTAAAAGTGAGTTTTTGAGACGGGAACATTACCGTCGTTAAAGGCTCTGGCATCTTATAAGTATTGGCGACGGCACAGTTTACCGTCGCTAAAGGAGTCCTGTACATTCAACAAGACAGCTTTTGCGACTGTGTTGGTACCGTCGCAAAAGCCTATTAATGGTTTTTGCGACGGGTTATTCTCCCGTCTCAAAAAATAAAAAAAATAAAAAAAAACCTGCTGATAAATTATTAAAAAAATTAAAATAACCTGTATTAGATAAAAAATAAGTATAAAAAATTGAAAAATTACAGAATAATATAAATACGTACATAAACAAAAATTGACAAATAATGAAAATTAATAATATTGTTCCATTCATAGCAATACATAAATAAAAATTCATAACAATAAAAATTATGCCACTACATAACGTCGCATAATACATACATAATGTTGCTCACAAATTTAAATAACATAAATCAAAATCAAAATCAAAAGCAAAAGTTTTCGTCTTCATTCGTTCGTGGGTTACAATTTTTTTTTTTACCAAATTAATTTTTATTATGTACTTGGATGATAATCAAGTAAAATTAATTTTTTAAAATTAATCATGTAATTTTTATCAATTTTACATGATTTTATTTTTGGTAGGTAAAAATAATCTTTAAAATATTTTTTTGACATTTATTTTTGTCAAATTAGTTTATATTTTATCAAATTAACAATTTTGCCCTTAAAATTAAGCATTGGTATGTTCAATTGTCCTTATTTGAAACAAGATTCAAAATTCAAGATCAAATGTGTCACAATTGAAAAGTTTGGGACTAAAGTGATACAAGTTCCAAACTATAGGGACTATTAGTGTAATTTGCCCTTTATTTTTTGAATCTTTACCAGGAGGAGTATGTTGCTTGTGATGATATTGGGAATTTGGATTGCGGGCATGACTTCCACACCAACTGCATCAAACAGTGGCTGACACAGAAGAATCTTTGCCCTATTTGCAAAATGACTGGTTTGGGCACTTGAGAGGGAAAACCATTATTTTTAAACCCTGAAAACTTAATTTTATTTCTTTGCCAGTGGATCATTAAACCCATTGCTTTGGTTGAAAATATAGTAATGTGTCCCATTCCTTTTATCCAAAAACCAGTATTTACTAAGCTCGTGAAATGCACGGGTTCATAAATGTGGAGAAAAGGGATGTAAGTTATAGAAGATCCGGGCAATGGTAAGGGATTTGTGTATTACCTGAAATGGATAAGTTTAGACTCTGAAATTTTATTAATGATATTATCAAGTTTTTAAAGGACTGCAGCTTGTGTTAACTGTTATCAGGAAACTGTTTTGAGAGGGGAAACTCTTTTTTGTGAATCACATCAATATGTTTTATCTATTCAAGTATAAATAAATATCATTTTGAACATTAATATATTAAAAAAAAACTAATATGAAATGTAGGACTATAAAATGTATCAAATTATTTGAGCTTGATTTTATTTGGCTTATTAAAAGTTCTTTCTAGATCAATTCATTAATTTTTTAAGCTTTAGTTTCATATAAATTTAAAAGCTTTTACAAAAATAAGTTGTTATAACTCAACTCAATTTGATTGGTTCAAAATTTAACCAAGTTAAATATATTATGAAATTTACTAAAAATTTTAAACCAAACTTAAACAATCTGCTATTTAAGGAAGAAACTATGTCGAGACCTACAGGCCCCTACCTCCTACTTCGCGTAAGATTCTCTATTGTTATATATAGTTAAACACACCAACAACTTCTCCTATGGGCCCTGCTCTCATTTAATTCTTATAATTTTAACCGGGAGAATTATATTATTCACACTCTATATTATATGCACTTTCAATTATATTATTATTTTTTTTAGTTATGATCAATTACTAAGAATGTAATCAGTTAGGTATGGTCAGTATTTAAATAAAAAATTTTATTGAACCGATAATATACAGACCGTTTCTTTCGTCAAACCGCACCAAACCAAACCGATTGAAGCGGTTTAATTCGGTGCGGTGTAATCATTCTACGACTTTTCAAACTTGAGCTACTTTTTAGTATAGTCACTAAGAGCATCTCCAGCAAGGCTAGTTAAAATAGCTATTCAAAATTTCACTTTACTATTTTAGCTAGTCATTTTTTTAATATACACTCCAACAAGGCTATCTACTTTAGCTATCTTCTATTAAAATATTCTTATACTTTAACTACCTTCTTTCCCATCTAAAAAAAAAAAAACTAACTTCTTTAAAAAAAAAACTAACTTCTTTCAAACAAACTTCTTTCAAAATATTCTTATACAATATCATGCACGCAAACTCATGAAGATGGATAAAGCAATCCATATACCAACAAAACCAAAACTTGCGGATAGTAAAAACAAGCATAGTGTGCTCACAACTGAGACCAAAACCTGCACAAGGACACAAGAAGAATATAATCTTCGCATGCAAATTCTGTATAAACAGTGTAGTTCTGAAGGTGCATATGGAGAAACAAAAAAAAATCAAAATCAAAATCAAATCATGTACAAGTTGGAGACTGGAAGAAAAAGAAAGAATTCTCAGATTTCTTTTCCTCCAACTTCAGAGCATCCTAATGGAGGCTCTATAGAACGAAAACAATGAGATCTTGACAGTATAAATAGGTACATAACAGCAAGCAGACAAAAGGTTGTAGACTTGCCATGGAGTAGGCAGAATAAACAAAATCAGATGCTCCAAAGTTGACTCACAAACAAAATCAGCAGCAAAATCAGATCAAAAACATCTTCAAGAACATATAACTTACAAAGTCATATATTCACAACTGAAAAAATTAAGAATAAAGCAGCTGGAAATAGGATGCTCATCACCACTTCATTCATCAATTCCATGGCTGAATCAACACAAACCCTCAATTTCTTGTGTTCCCTTGCTTTTGCAGTGCTGCTCATCACCACTTCATCATCACCACCATCAGTCCAATCTTGATCAATATCTTCCTCCTCTTCATCACCATGATCAGCAACATGATAAACTTCAACATGGGTATGCCCTAGGCCATCAAACTTGCCAAGCTCACAGTCCATCAAGTCATCACAGCTGCATGAGAGTGCATCATCTTCCGCTGCACCCATCAGCTCTGCATCCACTGCAGCTATATTTAGCTCAGAAATGGCCTCTGAATCACCTGTGGCCTCAAAGAGCATCATAGAAGATAAATCAACAAATTCTTTCTTCTCATCCATCTTCCTACACAGGAGGCTGAGAAGAATTGGTTATTTGGGATAGAAGTGAACCTTCCTATGCATATAGTTGCCCATTAACAGCATTTGTTATTGGCTAGTGAAACATCAATAAAAGATTACTTCAACTAAAAATAGAAAAGTACCTTTCTAACTAAAATTTGACTAAAAATTTAGTTAGTTTAATGAGATGCTCTTTGTCAAAAATAATTATTGGGTTTAATAAAATTTACCTCCCAGGCAAAAATTTTGTCAACTCTGCCCACTTGTTCCCATAAATTTGATGGGCGCTAATCAAAGTCAATTCCTCTTCTTGCGTCCAGGCCTCCTTGCTGATATTTGGATTAAGGTGATTATGCCACCTAGGAAGAGGAAATCATTTGCATATCAAAAATATTAAACCATCAATTCCCTAACACAGATAAAAGAATTTAAAAAAGTAATGAAATGGAATAAAATACAGCTTTTAGATATATGTTCTAGTGAGCTAATGCCAACAGAAAATACAGCTTTTAGATAAATATAGGACACCAACACCCATAGGAATGGATGAAATTTATTTTTTGAATCTTTACCAGGAGGAGTATGTTGCTTGTGATGATATTGGGAATTTGGATTGCGGGCATGACTTCCACACCAACTGCATCAAACAGTGGCTGACACAGAAGAATCTTTGCCCTATTTGCAAAATGACTGGTTTAGGCACTTGAGAGGGAAAACCATTATTTTTAAACCCTGAAAACTTAATTTTATTTCTTTGCCAGTGGATCATTAAACCCATTGCTTTGGTTGAAAATATAGTAATGTGTCCCATTCCTTTTATCCAAAAACCAGTATTTACTAAGCTCGTGAAATGCACGGGTTCATAAATGTGGAGAAAAGGGATGTAAGTTATAGAAGATCCGGGCAATGGTAAGGGATTTGTGTATTACCTGAAATGGATAAGTTTAGACTCTGAAATTTTATTAATGATATTATCAAGTTTTTAAAGGACTGCAGCTTGTGTTAACTGTTATCAGGAAACTCTTTTGAGAGGGGAAACTCTTTTTTGTGAATCACATCAATATGTTTTATCTATTCAAGTATAAATAAATATCATTTTGAACATTAATATATTAAAAAAAAACTAATATGAAATGTAGGACTATAAAATGTATCAAATTATTTGAGCTTGATTTTATTTGGCTTATTAAAAGTTCTTTCTAGATCAATTCATTAATTTTTTAAGCTTTAGTTTCATATAAATTTAAAAGCTTTTACAAAAATAAGTTGTTATAACTCAACTCAATTTGATTGGTTCAAAATTTAACCAAGTTAAATATATTATGAAATTTACTAAAAATTTTAAACCAAACTTAAACAATCTGCTATTTAAGGAAGAAACTATGTAGAGACCTACAGGGCCCTGCCTCCTACTTTGCCTAAGATTCTCTATTGTTATATATAGTTAAACACACCAACAACTTCTCCTATGGGCCCTACTCTCATTTAATTCTTATAATTTTAACTGGGAGAATTATATTATTCACACTCTATATTATATGCACTTTCAATTATATTATTATTTACTTTAGTTATGATCAATTACTAAGAATGTAATCAGTTAGGTATGGTCAGTATTTAAATAAAAAAATTTATTGAACCGATAATATACAGACCGCTTCTTTCGTCAAACCGCACCAAACCAAACCGATTGAAGCAGTTTAATTCGGTGCGGTGTAATCATTCTACGACCTTTCAAACTTGAGCTACTTTTTAGTATAGTCACTAATGTATGTAATATTGAATTAGTTATTTGTCCATTACTTGAAATATATTCAATTCGTTCATTTAATAAATACTTTTCAATTCCTAAATTAACAAAAATACAAATAAAAAAAAGTTATAAATACTAAAGTTTTAAGAATACTGAGTTAGAGTTAAGATTATATATAATAAAAATATACAAATTTAAGTTATAGAGATGATAAAGTTAATTAATTAAGGTTAATAATTTATTATAGTTATTAATATCTTTATATTATTAGATTATATAATACATGTTAAAGCGGTCGGTTTGGGTTTAATTTGGTGCACAACATGCTTGAACGGATATCGAACTGAAGATTGAAAAAAATCAAATAAAAAAATTGCACAGACCGATTCTTATTAAAAAAACAGACCAAATATAACTGGTTTGGTCTGGTTCAATCAGTTTAATCAATTTTTTTGATTTTTCTTACATCTCTAGTTATGACATTATTTTAAGATTTTGATTATGACTTTTTTGTATTTGGTTATGACTTTTATTATTATTTTTTCTTTAGTTATGACTCAAAAAGTATGAAATTATATTATTTTATTCTACATTTATAGGTGTGGTATAGTCTTTTCCTTAACTATTTTCTTTAACAACTCTTTATAATACAATAATAAATTAGAAAGATTATTGTACACACTTCGAAAATGGTGCGTACCATATGCACTTTATAACTAAATAAGAAAATAATATAATTTCAAACTTTCTAAGTCATAATTAAAAAAAAAAAAAGTCATAACCAAACAAGACATGAGGCATAACCAAAGATTTCATGAGTCATAACTAAAATAAGGTCATAATTAAAGAAGAAGATTGGTCATAACTAAAAAATAAAATGACATAATTTAAGGGTGCATATAGTAAGAGGTGTGTATAGTAGAATTTTCAATTTATATGTACACCCATTATAAGAAAATTTCGTATTTTATTTTATTTTATTTTATTTATGAAAGTTTAAAATAATTGTAGTGTTATATGTAGTAAAAATTATGAGTAGTCAATTTACAGTGTCCATATCAGTAAAACTAAAATGTGTGAATTATTGTAGTTATGTTATGAACAATATAGTGTAAATCTTACGAATCATTTGTGATGCAAAATGTTACGAACTTGTTGGCACCATAAATAAATAAATTATTATTATTATTGATAAATTGCAGGACACGTGTGTAGACACCCCATTTTTGACCGACCTTGAGACTCAGACATCACCAGTTGAG